CTTGAACTTGATAATGCTGATAAAGATGATCTCTCTTTCATGTAATCAGCTGCATTGAAAAAAATCTTCGTGAGTCCTAAAATTGATCGGCGTCCACATCATCCCATTGCCTAGGAGGTAGCATGACAATCAGATGCTGCTGAATGAAGGCACAAATGTCAGAGCTAACAGAGCCCTCCCTCAAAGATGAGAAAGTCCAACTCGCTCATTTTCCTAAGACTTCTGTATCAGTGGGCAGTGTCTGAAGTGCTCAGCATAGAGCTCGGCCACAGGAAGTGCTTAGCCAGTGTTCACTGTTACTGTGACTACTCGAGGTCACATAGTTAGCTCTTGGCAGGGCCAGGAGCAGAACCATGGTTCCAAGGTGCCATCTGCTGCCTGTCGCTCTGGCCCGTTTTTCATCATGCATATCACCATCTGATACAGTCTAATATATTTGTTTTGCTTCTTGTCTGTGTCCCACCATAGAATATAAGCTCCGTGAGAGCAGGGACTTTGTCATCTGGTTCACCCTGCATCTGGAGCATGACATACAGAAGGAGCTCAGTAAGTAGTTGCTGAATAAAAGAATAAATAAATTTAGAGGCCCGCAGGTAAACCTGTTGAAGAGTTGAGAAGGGAAAGGAAAAAAATTAATGTTTATGGGGCACCTGCTTTTAAGATGGTTTACTTATGAATGTTATCTCAGCTAATGCTCACAACAGCGGAGTGCTGAGGAAAACACTGCTGTTCCCATGTATTGGTGAAGAGTGTGGGGCTCAGAAGTTGGGTAACTCAGATCTATCTGCCTTCAAAGCTCATGCTATCTTCACTACTACAGTACCTCCCAATTAGATCAGATCTACGAATTTTCATGAAAAGTTCCTTCATTCTAAATGTTGATCCTATGATGTTTATTTTTTTCAAACTTTCCTTTAGGGGCGCCTGGGTGGCTCAGTCTGTTGAGCAGCCAACTCTCAATTTTGGCTCAGGTCATGATCTCAGGGTCCTGGGATTGAGCCCCACATGGGCTCCGTGCTTGGGGGGTGGGGGTGGGGGGGAGTCTGCTTGAGGATTCTCTTTCTCTCTCTCTCTGCCCCTCCCCCGGCTCATGTGCTCACGCGCGCTCTCTCTCTCTAAATAAATAAATCTTAAAGCACACACACACACAACACACACACACACACACAAACCAAGTTTCCTTTAAATCTAATCCCTGGGGCACCTGGGTGGCTCAGTCCATTGAGCATCCAACTCTTGGCTTTGGCTCAGGTATTGATCTCATGGGTCATGGGATCAAGCCCCACGGCGGGCTCCCCGCTCAGCAGGGAGTCTGCTTGAAGATATGCTCCTTCTGTTCCTCCCCCCAATCTGTCTCTCTCTCAAATAAATAAATAAATCTTAAAAAAATAACCCAAAAACTAATCCCTGAAAAAAACACATTCTGTAGGAAAGCATGCTATCTACTAGAGCCCCTGCACACTGTAGGAAGGCAGCTTGGAGTGGCAGGCACAGTCCTTGATTTGGTTTTACGGGATGTGGAGCCCAGGCCTCCCACTGACCACCGAAGGTGTGAATCTTAGTTCCTTACCCGTAAAGTAGTGACGTTAATAGCTGCCTGCCTACCAGACAGAGTTGGTAAGAGATAATGTATGTAAAGCACCTAGCACTGTGCTTCATCAAAGAAAGTGGCCATTAAATGTTAACCACTATTATTGTTACTAATTCTATTAGTGTTATCCTTATTAATAGTAATCATAATACATACGTTCCTCAGAAGGGAACTACTTGTGAGCTTGTGTCTTGTCTGTGGTCCTACCTGGGATGGAGTTGGGGAGCCTGGAGTCATAGATTTTTTTTTTAAAGATTTTATTTATTAATTTGACAGAGACACAGCGAGAGAGGGAACACAAGCAGGGGGAATGGGAGAGGGAGAAGCCGGCTTCCCGCGGAGCAGGGAGCCCAATGTGGGCCTCGATCCCAGGACCCTGGGATCATGACCTGAGCCGAAGGCAGACGCTTAACGACTGAGCCACCCAGTCCCCCCCTGGAGTCATAGATTGATTCCGCCTAAGTCTTTGCTTTAGCTGGGACCCAAATCCACAGACTGCCAACCAGCTTCTGTCAGCCACCTCATTGAAGCATGTGTTTGCTCAGCGAAGGGAGCTTGGCTTGAGAGAGTGGATGGATTAGGTCAAACCCATCACCACTTTTGGAAAAATAACCTAGATGGTAGTAACATTTAATAGTTTTGCGATGCCTTTTATGTTTTCTGGGTGTTTCCATGTGTGTTAGGTCATTTTTTCTCATGTATATGAGAAAAATAATATACTTTGTGGAGGCAATTTGACGTGCTTTCCCACAGCTTTGGCACTTACTGCATGTTCCTGGGGAAGTTACTTACCTTTGGGTGCCTCAATATCCTCAACTGTGGAGTGCAGTAGAAGGTTCTCATTAAGATTAAGGAGCTAACGTATGTAAAGTGCCTAGGACAATAACTGACATGTAGTAAGTGCTCAATACTAGAAGCTATAATGGAGTGCACAATTTCTTTCTCATTAAAATCTTTTTATGTGTTCTTGAAGGAACTATCATTTATTAGGCATCTACTGAATGCAAAGTGTGTTTGCATACTTTCATACTTTTTCACATATGCCAGTTAATTCTCACCTGAGCCTCAAGAAACTTGATCAGGGCCACACAGCTAACAAGTGGGGCTGAAGTGAACGTTCAGGCTTCTGCTTTCCAGCCGTCTGCTTTTCCTAGGATACTACCATGCCCTGTACACGAGTTGACAATCCTAGAGCTGGTGGTGGTGTCTTCAGGGAGACGTGCAAGCGTCAGGGAATATGTACCTGCCTCTATCAAATAACTTTTGATTTTTAAAAGAAGTGATATTGCTGCATTTGTCTAGTATTTGGAATTGTTTAAAATAACACCGAAACACCTCTGTAAGTTTGATTCAATGCTATTACATTCAACTTTATGGAAGAACGTAACTGAGTGAAACTTATGACCTTGAATCACTGACCATGGGGGTTTGTTTGTGTCTGTGCCTTTTTCCAGTTCACTTGGAGATTTTGACTTTGGAGGCCAGTACTCACCTGCAATTCGTGTTTCTGTTATGTTTCACAGCTGAAATGTTACTCTAGGCCAGTAATTCTCAAACTTTCGTGGGCATCAATCTCCCCGAGGGCCTGTTACAGCACAGATTGCTGATCTCATCCCAAAGTTTGAGTCAGTAAATTGAGGGCACCCATAATTTGCATTTTTTCCCATGTGATGCTGATATGGTGGTCTGGGTACCACATTTTGAGAACCAGTGCTCTGGACCAGGAGTTGACAAACTTCTGTAAATGACCAGACAATATTCTAGGTTTTGTGGGTCGTACAGTCTCTGTCACAAATAATCAACTCTGCCACTCTGGCTCGAAGGAGCCATAGAGCGTCGTAAGCAAATGAGTGTGACTGTACTTACGGGCATTGAAATTTGAATTTCATATAATTTCACATGTTACAAAATACTATTTTTCTTATTTCTTTTTTGCCCATTTATAAATGTAAAAATCATTTTTATGTTGTGGACTGTACAAAAACAGGCAGCAGGCCAGATTTAGCCTTTGGGCTATAGTTTGCTGACCCCTGACATGCAATTGTGATATGTTGGGGAATTTTCAAGCTGTTGTTTTAATTATAAAAGTAATGCATGCAGGTGGATGGTTTAAAAAATCTAACAGTGGGGCTCCTGGGTGGCTCAGTCGTTAAGCATCTGCCTTTGGCTCAGGTTATGATCCCGGGGTCCTGGGATCGAGCCCCGCATCGGTCTCCCTGCTCAGCGGGAAGCCTGCTTCTCCCTCTCCCACTCCCCCTGCTTGTGTTCCCTCTCTCGCTGTGTCTCTCTCTGTCAAATAAATAAATAAAATCTTAAAAAAATTTAAAAATAAAAAATCTAACAGTATAGAAGAAAATAAAATGAATCAGGAAGACTTCCTCTCCACCCCAGGCCTAATCACATGGCCCAGAAATAACCACTATTGATGAATATCAATTTTCAGAAATTTTATAGGGATTTACAAGCTTATATAAATGTATAAATTCTTTCTTACATCAGTGGGCTTTTTATACATATTGTTCAGCTTTTGTCTTTTCCCTAATAATGTATTGTGGCCTGTTTACATATCAACACATAGAAATAAATGCTTTAGCTTATTCTCTAATAGCTTGATAGTTTTCTGTTGTGTAGATATACCACACTATATTTCACCAGTCCCCCACTGATGGACATTTGAGTTATTCCCCATTTTTTTCTACCACAAAGTGAGGGTACGTCTTACATCCATTATTGCATAATATCTGCAAGGTAAGGTCCTAGGAGATGAGTTGCTGAGTCAAAGGATGTGTGCATTTAAAATTTTGATAGCTATTTCTAAATTCCTGTTGTGGGCACGTTAGGACCCTACATTCATTTTGCTTCAGGGTCACACCCTACATTTCTAGTTTTTAGTCTTTATCTGACTTGTGCATTCATCATAGTGAATTTTGGTATAATGGCTCGCTGCACGTGAACTTAACACAGAGTAGTAATCCTATCAAGGGCAAAAAGTGCAGCTGGCCATTTGCCCGTGATTCTTGCAAGGAAAATGGCTTTAAAGAATATAAAGCCACCCAAGCAGTGCCCTGAATCTAGGGTCATCCTGGACATTGCTGGGGAAGGTACCACAGCAGAAATTGTTCTTTTCGCAGACCTGGTACTTAGTGGATGCTTCCATATGTTTGTTTCCCATCAGAGTGGAGTTTTCCATTGTCAAACATTTATGTAAACATAGTATTAGCCAATAAATGTGCTGTGCTATTATTGTACTAGAACTCAGGATATCACCGCTTTCCTTTCTATTTGGGGCTTTTCCTTTTTGAGCTAGTCAAGGATTAGGACAATGATTTAATAGACAACAATGCAACATCTTAAAATGTAGCACTGTGTTAGGTTTTTTAACTTAAAATATGTCAATTTCTGCTCATAGGTTGTCACAGAATTTTCTCTTCACCACTCAGTCATATCTACTTACACAAGCAGTCCAGCAGTCAACAAAGAAGAAATTTCTTTTTCCGGAGACAAAGAGAGATTTCCCACAGTGTAGTTTTGCCAGCTGCAGTTTCTTCAGCTCACCCAGTCCCTGAGGTACCGTACTGCCCTATTATCTGCTGCTTTTTCTAGCCAAGATGCAGCTTAACCGCAGAAGCAATGAAATGTCTTTGCACCTTTGATTTCTGAGCCATTTGAATCATGATTTTTAAACTTGGTTTGTGATCTAAAATCGTGATTTGAGAAGCTATAACATCTGCAGTTCTATAACATTATTATTATTTTTTTAAATAAAGCTCTGGGCTTACCGCTGCTTAGCTTATTTAGAATTAGTTTCTACCACGAAATTTTCTATATTAAATTTCTAACACAAAGGTAAAAGCACATGTCTACAGTTTCTTAACTTTTTTAGAAAAAAAAATTGACTATTAAACTGGGATCATTCAAGAGAGATTACTTGAAACTGGTACACTAGATGTTATTTCCTAAGCCTGCTCTCAGACTTTCCACAGTATTAATGCTGATGTTTGGAACCCTCCTTTAGAGTAAGGAAATAAAACCTCTCGCCTCAGAGCGTTCTTGATTTTTTTCTCAGAGACTACAATTCTGTGGAAAGACAATCTATCCACATTTCAAAATGCAAAATAAAGGAGGCGTGGGGATCATGTAGGAAAAACGAGAATAGCTGAAAGAAGTCTAGCCTTGTCACAGAAGTCACCTGCCTTCTCCCTTTGAGGCATTTTTTTAACAGTAAACCCACATGAAGTATGTTATACTCCCTGAAGGTGAGTGGCCCTTTTTGTGTGTGTGTGGAAAGGGGCCAATGAGACAGGCTACCAGAGCCCAGAGGATGTTCCTGGTGTTTCCTTGGTGGCAAAGGAAAGGAAGTCTCCAGAGACATGAATGTATTGTTTTAGAATGTCAGTGACAACCCAGGAGCCCTTCTGCCTGTGACTGTAACCTGGCCACGTCACAGAACAGAGTGGAGACAGGAGCACGGTCTGTGGGGGAGACTGGGCAAGCTTTAGAGGGCACCGGTGGCAAAGCTGTAAGAGTAGATGCCTGCCCCGAGCTCAGTCGTGGCTACCCAAGCCCTGGCGTGCTCTGGATCAGAAGGGCCCATCTGAACACAAGAATAGGTGAAGGTCTTATAAGTGAAGGTGTGATGCACTTCACAAAGAGCGGACCCCTAATCTCAGCCCTGCCAGAGTCACTGTGATGTCAGTTGAAGAGCCTTGTCTCCCTCAGCTTCCTGTCCCCAACTGCTGTGTACCCTTTCCTGGGTACAGCTCCACAATGCTTATGTGGCAGTTTCCATAAATAGATTGTAAAGAGCTGAGCACAACCTTGGGACTAAAAGAAGCTCTGTGTGTAAAATAGTATTTATTTTCTGAATACTACCCATAGGTTTAAGGAAGCAGTGGAGAACGTTCTACAAGGGTGATCAGAGTGGAATGTTTTGAGTTTGGGCCGTTTCTTTGTTTGTTTTTGACAAATGATGGAAATGTTCTAGGTATTTTTTTTTTTTATGTACTTAAAAAAAAGAATGAAACAAAGACAAAGAAAAGAAAGCTGTTGGGTTTTGTTCTCTAGTCCCTTCTTAGTTTGGGTGCAGTTGCCGAGTGCAAGAAAAGTGTATACGTAATAGGCTTCAGTGGACTTGAGAGTCAGCCTTTTACATATATTCATTCGGAGAGGGTGTTGTGAGCTATCCTTTGCATAAATTTTATCTTTGTGTTAAGAAGATGAAAGTGCTCTTAATTAGCCATTTGGCAATTTGGAAGCTTGGTGCTCTTTTTTCCATCAACGGCTAGAATGCTTCTTACAGGGTTGGGAGGAGGAAGAAAAGAAAACTACTGTTTGTTTTGACCAGAAGTCTACTTCAGACCAGTTTGACTCAAAGCACAGTAAGGTTAACAGACCATCCAGAGGCAGCACTAACAGGCAATGTTAAGTTCAAAAGGGCAGGGGAAGGAACTGGGGGCAGCCTGGAGGGTCTGTCGTGCTGGCTTCGGAGGTCGGGGCTCCGGCAGGAAGGGCAGAGCTCCATGAAGCAGGAGGCTGTGTCCGAAAAAATGATCCCATTGTCGTGTGCTGGGTTCTGATCTTCATTTTCAATCCTTTTTCCTCAAGCACATAAAGAAGCCAGACTATGTGACGACAGGCATTGTGCCCGACTGGGGAGACAGCATAGAAGTTAAGAATGAAGATCAGATTCAAGGGCTTCGTCAGGCTTGTCAGCTGGCGCGACATGTCCTCCTCCTGGCTGGGAAGAGTTTAAAGGTGGCGTCTCAGCAAGCCTCAGAGGACGTACATCAGGGGCAACACACTCTCCCCTTTTGCCTCTCTCCCTTTCACTCTTCCTGTGTACACATCTAATTTGTTAAAAAATCAAGTCAAGCCTTGGGATGGGGGAAGGGGATTTTATTATTTTGTGTGTTTATTCTAGAGGTAACTTAAAATCCAAATTCAATTTTAAGTAGCAGGATTCTGGAGATACTTCGGGCCCAATCAGCCTATCCACCTTGATCAATGGCAGACAGCTTTGACTTCTGCCCCCTTATTCCTGCCTGTAGTTTCTGCTTTTACTGCCCGCATTATTTCTGGGTGCCTGAAGAGTTGTTCTCCCTTATCCTTTGTCTCCTTTTTCCTTGCATTAGCTCTGCAAAGCAAGATTAGAGCATATAGACAAAGCTACGGGTAATAGAGAAATGTGATTACGGACAACTACCTTACCACAAGATTTAGTTCTTCCAGAATAATCTGAAACACTCTGCTTTATAAGGATCATTAAAAAAAAAAAAGTATGGGCCTGTAGTTTCCAGAAGGTGGGCAGAATTTAGGAAGTGAGTCTCAATGGTGAAATCACTTAAGAGTTTTGTGTAATAAACTTGTTATAGCAACGTAACTAAGCATAACGTGAATATCAAATAATGCAAAGAAAAATATTGAAGAAATAGGTAATTTTTAATAAAAGATTTTGTTTTAGAATCTTATTTATGACTTATGAGTTCATGGAGGTATCTTCGTGTACTCATAAAACTCAATTTTAGGGGTTTTTTGTTTTTTTTTTTAGTTTGAGAGCAATTGGATGCCTTCTAATAAGAGAAATATTTTTTAAAAACACAATGGATTTACTTAGGCATGAAAGAAAGCAAGATTCGTGAAAACCAAATTTCTACAATATGTATCAGACTGAGTTTTTAAAATAATGATCCATAGTCTTCCCATCATTGCTGCAAAACCCGTGCAAAGTTTCACTGAGATAAAAAGGTGTGGGTCGACCTACTTTTTCAAGCTTTGTCATCTAAACTGAAGCTACGTTTGAGAATTTATTTATATGCTTCAGCTAGCCTGAGGCACTAACCCTTGAGGAAGAGGAAGGAATTGCCTAGGAACATATTTGTGAAGTGTTCAGGCTCAGAAGGAGTCATGTCATTTAATGACTCACAGATAATTTAAAGGATCTTAGGGCTTACAATTTCCATCTCCTCACAGCCCATAACACCATTGTATACCCAAACGACTGTCAAAAAGGCACAACTTAAATATTTCAGGTTAATTGCCATTAATCAAAATGTTGTATCACAAGTTTATCACAGTAAATCTGTACAGTCTCATCTGAGAGTGCTGTAGCTACAGACATGGTCAGTGAGGGCAGGAAATGTCTTCAACTGTTGCTGCACAATTTCTTTATTTAATATTTTAGGTTGACATGACAACTGAAGAGATAGATGCTCTTGTCCATCAGGAAATCATCAGTCATGATGCTTATCCCTCACCTCTAGGCTATGGAGGTTTTCCAAAATCTGTTTGTACCTCTGTAAACAACGTGCTCTGTCATGGTATTCCTGACAGGTATTTATTGCTTAATAACATATTGTTCCTTTGGAAACTAAAACATGAGACTGAGATCTATAACACATGTTGAAAGACACTAGCTTAATTGAAACCCACCTGCAAACTTGTGAAGCTGATTAGGGTAAAACAAAAATTTTGAAGTATTTTGCTTCTAGGTGGACATATATTTAATGTTTGTTAAAGGAGTGTGTAATCCAAATCTTTGGATTGTTCCTTAAATATTTCTTTTACCTTCTTAGATTTTAACCGTATAAGTGGTAAAAATCCAAATGTAGGCAAATATAGGTTATCAACTATTGTTTCAGCTCTTCGCAAAATTAAGGTAACTGATAAGTACATATTTTTAAAGAATTTTTAAAAGATTTTTAAACAATGGCAATATGTTCATATGCTGTATTTCTTATAAAATTGGACGTGACTGACGTAACTTAAAGACTAGATATAGTTTTTCCATTTATTGCTCTTCTACTCCGAATTATCATTGCAATTCACTGGGCTTGTGATAGTCTTAGGTATTTATTTTTACATTTCTCTTATTGAGATCTGTCTATCACCATTTTTATTCTGTTTACGTTTCAGCCGACCTCTTCAGGATGGAGATATTATCAACATTGATGTCACGGTGAGTAAATAATATAAAAAATAGTCTTTGATCAACTTCAGAATTGCTGGTAGCACCAGGAAGAATTGTGGCTTGAAAATGCGAGCCGCACCAAGGGAAGTGCTGTTTACTTCTAGACCCAGACGCAAGCAGCTGGTTTCCTTTTTTGTCTTTAACTCCGTGTTTATTCCAAGTAAACCCAGGCCTGACTTGAATTTAGGGCTGGAATCAGATGCACTGAGATCAATGTTGGCCTAAGTGAAATGTCAACCCAATCCTGCTATGTGTCATGTTTTTGAGAAGGTGTAATTGTTATTGATCCACTGTGTAGTTAATGCAGAGCCACCGCGGCACTGGGCAGCTGCTGAAGCCAGATATGTATGAGATGAGCTAACATGAAGAAAGCCAGCATTTTTCCTTCACTCTGCCAAGATTGATCTTCCTCTTCCTGCTGATTTTGAGTGGGGCCTGTCATTATCTTACTCTGTCATTAGGGGCTACATTGGCCTGTGTGTGTCAGTCTATTTGGACAGCAACTCTTTTGCTAGCAGTGTTCCTTAGATTTAGTAAAATCCCTGAAGGTAACGTCGTGTTCCATTTGTGGCAGAGAGGGTATAGAGAGCCTTGAACTCGGAGCATACGAGCAGAGTGGTTTTCTCTCTGCACCTAACTTTTTACCACATGGTTAACAGCCTTTCTTTTAAATAACAACCCAAAGTGATTTAACACGGGAACTTCAAATTGCACAAGCTCTAACCTTTTCTAATTCCCTCAGCCTTTCACTACTCTCAGACTTGGATCATTTGCGCTTTGGCAGTTCGTTTTACTAAAAAAGTTTGTAATGGTCCCTTTGGATTATGTAGATTGTAAATAAATTGTATACATCTGATGATTAATAAATAAGGTTTAAATACAGAAATAAAATTTAATCATCTGATGAGAACTAGTTGCGACAGACACCATTCAAGGAGTATAGCTTCTATGAATGAGGAAATATTTTCCATAATAGTTATTTTGTATCCCCACCATGAACTTAGGTAGGCGAGAGAATGAGGTGGAAATTGGCATCCGATCATTGAGTTTGGCCAAATTTTTAGTTGTTTAAATTAACTCAGCCTCTTTTCTTCATATCAGTTTGTATGGTGACATAGCCAATGATTCCTTTATTGCTGCTACTCTTTCATATATCATTTTGTCCTACTTAGAATACTTGAACATTTGCTCCACATATATTCTGTTGGTTTATCTTTCCAACTCAGGATCATGAAGGAGGAGATATTTTATGAAGTATACCTGAAGTAAAGTATTTTTCCTGATATACTTTTCTTTTGAATTGTAACTGATTTGGGGTTTGTACATTTATTATCTCACCTAATCACCCCCTAATAAAATGTTGCTGCTTTGAATGAAATCAGCACACTCTTTCCTACTGCTCCCAGTGCATCCAAAGAGAATATTCCATGCCTTTTCTGTTTCCTGAAGACTTTTAATACATTTTTAACATTCAAATATTTCACAATTGCAGAAACTCAAAGCAATGTGAAATACTTCAAGTGTCTAGAAATATGAAGGAGTCAAGAAAACATATTGGTCTCTATCTTAATAAATTATATATTTTTTACCCCCCCCACAAATTATATTCCCTGTGAGATATGATATTAAGTGAAAGACTCCATTATCAGATCCTATACTTTTATCAGAAAATACTCGTTATGCATTTTATAATTGTTTACACCTAGTATATACCACAATAAAACAGACTTCTTTCCCCCTTGAAAGTGAATGTTAAAAAAACAGACTGTGAGATGCCTAGAGTAGTTGCTCAATAAATATTTGTTTAATAAATGAAGTACAAAACAAGAATACTTTGTGAGCATAAACCCTAATTATAGATAACTGCCATAGGCTTTCAGAAGTATTGTTATTCTCACATATATTGAATCTTTCACATATTTTGAAAGCTAGCAAAAAGTAATGTAAAAAGGCAAATAAAGATTTTTAAAAATATTTTTTACTTAAATAACAGTTACATAAACACTGAATTATACATTTTTAAAACATGCTTATATTAGTAACTGTAATATATTTGTGTATAAAGTCAAACTTGTACTTTCTTGGATTGCAAATGGGAAAAAAAGTATGAAACACTACTCTATTGCAAGGTAATTAAGGTCATGTGACACATTAGAGAAAACATTTGTTTAGAAGCCAATAATCCATCATGTTAATCTGGATCTACCTCTGTATTTTGCCACCAGCCTTAGACAAGTTACCTGTTTATGCCTCAGATTGCTGACTTATAAAGTGAAGACTGAATAAAGACTTTTCCTGCTTCCCTTACAGGGTGTAGTAGAGTATTTTTTTTGGTGCAGAATAGTATATAGATTAAGACATCAACTCAGTATTAAGATAGACAGAAAGCTCAGCTAAATATCTTTTTTTATAAGTTTCTGCATTTTACTTCATGAGAAAGAGAAATGTGAAAAACAATTACATAGGTAAAATTTATGCAAAATAGCAAATTCCATGCTATATCTAAGGATCAATATTCAACCAGTCCCTTCTACCTTCTATATTTATTATAGTGTTTGTTAATTATTGATTTTTTATAATGAATCTGGTGTCTTTCAAGATCCTATAGGGCCTACTGAATCATTGATGACTGATAAAATTATATTTTCTGTAATTTTATTCTTAAGCGTATTTTGTTATATTTTAATCCTTTAAAAACCCATGTGTAGTGTTTTCTGTTAACATTCTGCTATCTGGACCATTTGACTAAGGTTTCACTTCCAGACAGGATCTTTCCCTAACATATTTCATTCCCATATTGAGCCACTTCAATTCTTGGAACGAAATTCTCCTACTGTTTAATACTGACATGTCTATTTTATTTCTTCTTCTTATTGTCTATCACTTCCAAATGTAGGATTGGTAAATGAAAGATCAAGTATCTTCATGACACTGAAGAAACTTTTCACTATGTTAAATACTTCTAGGTTCTCTAGAGCTATTGTAGTAATTGTGGGTCAATGTCTTTGGTCACTAATTTATGCATGTATAGTTTTGTCTTCTCAGAAATAAAATGAGGAATCAAAACATTATACTAGCTTTGCTATTCATAATGCTGAAATCGCCATTCTAGTTACGAATTTATTTTTAGATTTTGTAATATCATCGTATGGCTCATCTTTTTAATTCCTGTAAGGCTTTAGCATATCCTCTTTTTTTTTTTTTTTTTTTGTAGGGAAATGAGAGTGATTCTGGAAGGGTGAAACATATGAATCTACTAAATACATAAATGAACACAATACATACTTTTGGAGAGTACATTTTTAAACAAGGACGTATTTTAAAATGTTTGCCTGTGTTTAGGTCTATTACAATGGCTACCATGGAGACACCTCGGAAACGTTTTTGGTGGGCAATGTGGATGAATGTGGTAAAAAGTTAGTGGAGGTTGCCAGGAGGTGTAGAGATGAAGCAATTGCAGCTTGCAGAGCGGGGGCTCCCTTCTCTGTAATTGGAAACACAATCAGGTAAGCCTTACACTGACAAGTAAAGGGAGGGTTGGCAAATGGTACAAAGGTTATTGGTGGCTTGGTATAAAATTGATGACATGTTTTATGATTCAGAACCATCATTTCAGTCTGATATCAGTATGTGAACTGCCAAGCTGCGGTGTTGTTCCCTGGGTTTAAAAAAAGAGAGAGAGAGATTTTAAAACAGTGAATTATACTAGGGTCAGCAGGAAACTTACAGGAGCAGCAAGCAATATTTATATGACTGCTTTAGTTTTAGCTCGACATATTGGTCTGTAGTGTTCCTTTACCCAAAATCACACCAAACATCGAAGAAAGTACCTAAGAAGGGGATAAGCATCCCAACTCTTGGATAATGAAACAGGAGAAAAGCTAAATTTTATGAGGAATGAAGTGAAACATATTCCTGTGATACAGAGATTTAAAAAACATTAGCTCAAGCAAGCCTTACCTTTCAAATTAGTGGATTAGCACACAGGCTGAAAGGGTGAGCTTGTGTCCTTTTCTTGTCTGGTTCATTTTTTCCCCTGTAAACGATTGTTTATTTTCCAAACAGTATTCTGTGCTTGCTTTTTGAGTATATGTGTATTTGCTGAATTTGAGACTTTTCCCCGTAATCTGTTACCTCCTTTTAGATCTTTTCTTTTAACCCCCATAACTGTTTTGAAGTAGACATACAGAATATGTGTTTTCATTCAAAAGTAATGCATTGTGTTAAAGATGATCACATCAGTACCTTTTAAAGTACTGTTCTCATTAATATGAACCATTGAATACTTCCCGTTTGTCTCAAGGATGGAAGGCTTAGTCACCTTGAAAAGATGCTGCCTTTTTTCTTCGTAAGCCCTCAAATACTTTAAGAAAAAAGGCAGTAAAATATCAGTTAAATGTATTTATGGCTTTAAAAATATTGTAACAATGTCTGAATCAAACTTTAGTAAAATCTCTTTGGGTTATATCTGAGAAGCTTTTATTGAAGACTTTGAACAAAATTGTGTTTTTGACAGTTTTAAATTATAGGCTAACTAGCCTGGGAAAAAAGGATAGTGTCTCTCTGTTCTTTCATAGGAAATGTTGAATCAGACCCCTACTGGGAAAAGAAATTTAATGCATATCTCACTGTCTTACTGTCCATGAATATAATAGAAATGAATTCAAAATGCAGTTTTATTTTTGCAAATGGGATGAGTCGATCGATGTATCTCATATTTTTGAACACCTAGGGTTCAACAAATTTACTGGTGGTGCTCTTGCATTTTAACAAAATTTATTCTTCAGTAGAAGGGGGCAGAGAACACTAGATTCTTATTCAAGCATTCTATCGAGCTCTGCATTCATGGCTGTGTCTAAAGGGCATGTCAGCCTTTGATTCTCTCTGAGAGGTAATTATCCTTTTCCTGTCACGGAACAACAAATGATAGCTAACTACAGAGGCACATTTGCAGTAGTCACATTCATCAACTGCAGGAAAAAAATTCAATTTAATTGTGCAACACAGCTGCACATGGGCTTTTGAGCATTTCTGTTGTTCTCCCTGTCTCGCTATTCCTCCCTCCAGATCTATTTTTTAAACTTTTTTTTTCTGGTTATTTTTTCCCCTTTTTGTCTCTTCTTCCATTTTTACTCTCTGTACTTTCTTGTTAAAGTAATTTTCCTTTGTGGCTCTCATTCTTTTTTCCCCATTGAAGGCTATGAATGTAGAAAATTATCACAATTACTCATATAATTGAGCCTCTTTGTAGCAAGTGCAACTCCAGTAGCCTTTCTCCATCATGAAAATGGTTTCATTATAGGGTTTTTCATATTCTCTGACACCATCTACACAGAGGAACAGGCGTGCAGATGAGATGTGCTAGGAACAGGCTAGATCAGTAAGGTCACAGTAGGAATAATTAGCTCTGCTATGGAAAGAGCATCTAGGCCTTTTACTGCTACATAAATGTACTGTCCGTGGCTTTTAGTCACAAAAAAACTTACTAACAAATGGAGCTCCCGCCTACTACTTTGAAAAAAAGATTTGTATCAACACTACAATTTTCCATCATTAAGACTAATAACACAGAGCCTAGTATACATCAAGGGGAATAAAAAGAAAAATCTCACATTCAAGTGGCGGCTGGGTGCTGACCTTTGTTCCCTTTTTTTGTGTACGACTTAACTCTTTACAAAAAAGAGCCACACGCCACACCAACACGCAGGTGAGCTCCAGCTAGTACTAGCAAAGCATAGCATTCAGTCGGAAAATCTGATAAATCTCCATGCAGGATAATGCATTTCATTACATATTCACTACATTAATTCTAGCTACATTAAAAAGAAGAAGAAGAAGAAGAAGAGTAGAATTGAAAGTGACATTGGATTTTAGCTCTTTGGATGCAAAGGTCAGTTTTCCAAGAGTATGAACTCGCATGTACAAGCTCCTTTGAAAACCAGATCAGCCCCAACAGCTACACTTAGAAAACTATGTGAAAAATAATAGACAATGAACTTTTTGCTTGTACCCTGATACATTTCATTATTTAGATGGTTTCTGTCTGCCACCGGGGACTAACCAATGTTAAGACGATGTTTCTGGACATCTATTATTTTGCCTTTTCTTATTCAGGCAAAATCTCAAGGGAGTAAATAAACAATCTCCACCTTTAAGCCAAAAGTACTTGGAATCATTACAGACCCAAGGTTTACAAACATCTTTCAAGTCAGTCTCATTTATTTTAAGATATTCACCGTCTTTTGCATAGCCTCCCTCTACTGATACACCACGAAAAGAACATTCAAGCTTCTTTTATTTGTAGTATGTTACCAAAAACCTAGTGATCTTTAGGGCGAAATTTTGAAATTCTCTGAAGCCTGGAAGGGTAGGAGGATATCTCTGAAGTATTGTCTATAATAGTTTAATGAAAAGAGTTCTCTGTGTGCCCTTTTTCTTCATAAGGGATGGCTAGTGAACTTTAGGTTACAGTGTTATTATGCTCACTGTACCTACATTTGCTTTAAATTATCTCTAAAGCTGTATATTCAGATTATCTCTAGATGATATGATCTGTACATGAGAATATTATGAATGTGTAGATTCATGCATCCCAAATATGTGACAGTTCAATCAAAAATAATTTAAACTTATAGTTCTAAGTGTCATGATGAAAGTATCAATAAATGGTTTTTAATGTTTAATTCATAAGTATATGTTTTGATATTAATTTAGAAGAATATAAAGCAGATTTTTAAAAATAATCTCTTTCTATTAGATTATGCACATTTAAACAATAAGTGGCTCAGGCAAAATAAGTCATTTTAATGTCATCTGTGATGGATTTTTCTTGACAGCTACTGTAAATTACAATTACACTGCTTCTCTCGGCACATGAAAGTAAGCACTGCAATAAATTATCTTTTATTTCAATCCGTCATGTCTGCTTTTCAGAAACAGAAAACCTCAAATAAAAGTTCAGCACCATTGTAAGAAAAATACAGTAATTTGTGATCCAGCTTGAAACAAAAAAATATACCACTCTTTTGGAAAACGGTTGTTGGCTTTTAAAAATATTACTAATTGTACTTAAATATTCCATGTCATTAGAGGGAATCCTTAGACTCGTGCATTCCTTCATTCAAAGACTACTGTTTAAAATAAAAATCTGGAAAGACCGAACTCGGAAAATCAGGGGCCATTTAATTAGAGAGGTGACTGTTTGGAAATTAGTGCTCTTTATAGGATTCATGTAAAAATGGTGATAAAACTATTTCCATGTGCATTTTTATTTCTTGAGAAGAGTATGCACTTAAACATAGTACTCCTCTGCCCTCTTGGGGAATGTATTCTTAGTCACAAAATGTACTTGAAATGTATTAAGAATTTTAATTTATCTACACAATACTTCAGTTGAGGAAAACTACCTCATGAAAGGGAATTAAATGGAAGAAAACGGTCACAAGACGAAATTTCTTAAGAGAGGAACCATAACTGAAACATGAACTGTAATAATAGGGTGATTTCAAAGTAAGTTCAGAAACTACATTTGTACACCTTCTTCTTCCTCTCCCCTCTTCTTCCTCCCCAAGTAGTCCCTATGAAGGACTTCAAATCATAAATGAGCTCAGGCTCATGGATAAGTATTGTACTGTCTGAGAGGATTCTTAGTTAGAGAAAAACCGGAACAGAACAGCTAATACCAGGAGAATTCTTTTCTTCAGTAGGTTTCAGCAGAAAGAAGGCAGATCTCCTGAGTGGGAATGTCCAGGGCAAGAAGACCCTCAAGCTCAGAAGGGGTCACGGCCCTGTGAGGCCTGGTGCTGGGGAGCGGCTGCTACGTTTCTTGGGCAGCCCTGCCCACCCAGCTGTTTCCATTTCCCGCAACACACCAGTTAAGGGAAGCACATGTATGCTCCACCTTCCCATGACGCCACCTGCTACGACAGGTCACTTGGATGGTCTCTTATGAAGTTAGATTTAAGCCCTAGAATCAGGGCAGATAACCTTGTGCTTCCCGTATATTCCAAAATAGTAGAAGGGGCATGATTTTAAATAGGAAATAGGAACATTAGTGAGATTTGATCCCATTTAGTCCCAGTAAGTATGCGTTAAAAAGCTCACTACAAATCCAAAAGGGAAATACCCTGAAAAGCAGACAGAACTATATACTTAGCTCCTGGGAATCAAGCATTGAGATGGGTGCTCAGCCAAGGAACTGAGCGAAATTTGTCCTGTGCTTTTCCTCTTTCCACCCGGCTGTGAAATCCTGACCTTTGCATTCATGACACATACATTCTATGATACTCCTATAACCGTAAGTTCCAGCAGGATCCAGGCAGTAAATTGTTGTAGGAGAATGCACTCAAATATCTTTAGCCACCTTGTAATTGCACGGCTTCTTTTATGAAGAGGGATGAGAGGTGTGATGGCGGAGGGACCCCAAGTGTTTTTTCAGAGTGGACTTTCTTCCTCTCCTCTCATCAGAAATTAAAATGAAGATTGCCATTGTAACACACATTTAAGATGTAGCCGTGATGCCTGCCAATCAGTTAGGTCGTAGGGTTTTTTTTTTCTTTTGAGGAAAGAAAATAGAACAGTTTATATCGAATGTTTTTAGAATCATTGAGGTTTGTTGGGACTGAAGTCACATAATTTACAGGTTTAGGTAGAACCCATTCTTGTAAAAAAAAAAAGTCTAGATCATTATTGTCTTATCTGATAATCTCTCTTTCACCCTCTATCCACTCTCCATTCTCAATTTTTATTTAGAAATTGTGTGGTGCAGATAGAAGCACCTTGGAAAAGTTTTTATACCTCCTGCCCCAAGTGCAAAGACATACAGAAATAACTACAACCATAAAGTACAACTTTAAGAGATAAAAATGTTGACTTGTTATTCCTGTCATTGACACATGCGTAGCTTACCTATTTCTGCACTATCAGTTACATGGAAATTAAATCTGAATGAGGGGCTGTCCATCTGCTCTTTATAGTGACATCCTGGTGTAAGGGAAGGTATCTTGCAGGTCTGGAGATGAAAGTTAAACATGTTCAGAGATAAGTGTATTGACATGAATGCTCTTAGAGATGCTGCCTTTGAGTTCATGTTCAACTAAACCTAGGGTCTACTGGAAACTCTAGTTTGGGATCTAAGAACTTTGACTTTGATAAGAATTTAAATAGTAGTCCTGTAAATCCTGATCCATTGTTATGGTTTGGGTTAGGGCACTATGCCCCTCATCCACATGAAAATATAAATTGTTCATCATTTATATTGGTATCTTTCTGGTGCTCCTAGAAATGAGTATGTTCACCTGATTTCAAAAACAACTTCTTAACTTTGTACGTGAGGATTTTAGGGTGGATTCTATATGCCAGACTTCATTTATACGGAATAGATGGAACCCAGTACATTTGCATGTAGAAAGAACTAATAAAGCATTAAGAATTAGGAATCACAATACTAGCTTCTCTTAAGCATCAAGGTGATTAAAAAGCATTCTGTGTGAATTTTGTTAATGACATAAGTCTTGAGTGAAAATCCCAAATGATGACAAAGTTTTGGAGTATTTCAAGAATATTGACAATGCGATTTGACCTTTTGTATGAGTGTGTCTGTTTCTAAAATGTAGAATGTTTTGAAATAGGCCAGAATAAGGAAACCATAAAAGTAGGAGGTCACATTTCTAGATTGCATTTTTGTTTCTCTTTTCAGTTCCCAAATCAGTAGTAATTTGCACAGTCTTTTCTGAAACCTTATACAAACCAGACAAGTTTTTATGACCTGCATTCTATGCACATGTGTCTTGGTTATGCATTCCGATCTATATATGTGTGCATGCACACTCATTTGTTGTCTAAAAGTGGCCTTGTTTGAATGCTGTTCTAAGGTAAATGAAGCAAACTGCTGTTCAATACATACCTTTTTTCTTCATTTATCCAAAGGGAGTTGTTACATGCAATGGCAAAAATTTTAATTATTCCAGAATAATAAAAACATTATCTGGCTCTAAATATAACTGATTTTTTTCTCTTTCAGAGACCATTTTAAAGTGACTTTACCTAAGAATGCATTAAAAACTTACCTAATTTAATTAAATATTTTTGTTTGGTCACTTTTAAAGCCACATAACTCATCAGAATGGTTTGCAAGTCTGTCCACATTTTGTGGGGCATGGGATAGGATCTTACTTTCATGGACATCCAGAAATTTGGCATCACGGTAAGGAAGTTAATTTGGGAACTATTTATTGGATGGAATCAGAATAAGGCAGTTTTGCTCCTGATGTTCCTCTAACTTTGAATTCATATGATCATCCTTTTGTGTGCATGTGTGTGTGTGTGGGGGGGGGTTACTTAATTGTAACCAGCACATTATTGTGTTACTGGATTAGAGCCCAGCAGTTTCAGTCTCCGAATAGGGTTTATTTTGCTTTTTGTCTTCCCCTGAAGGGTGATGGCTGGAAGGCACAAGGGGTATTTGTCTAGAAAAAGTTACTAAAAACAAAATGCCACTGCGTCATTGTCCCAGCAGCATGCACATATGACTGTTTTCTATTTTTCTTTTTCTACCCCCTTCTCTAACCGCTGACTGTTGTGGTTAAACTTCATTACATCCTACACAGCGTTGACAGCTGATGTATTTAGCAGCATGTACTCTTTAGTGATTTCTAGATTATACCCACCCTTGTATTCCTTCCCTAGAACCTCCTGCTTTTCACTGCCTGGGTGTGCACCCTACAATGAAAAGGCAAGGGTGGGCCAGAAGCAGTGGTTAGGGCAGGAGGCAGTACTATAGAGTGCCCCCCAGGGGGGCTGCACCCCTGGACAGGGACCGAAGGAAAGTTGGACCTTGACCTGTGTGCTTGGGGTCGAAGCAGTCCCTAGAAGAAGTACTGCCTAGAACCCATTCCCTGGAAGATCCCCATGGACCCAGCAGGTCAGAATTCCTTTTGCACCAAAGAGCCCCGCCTGAGGCAGCTCAGGAGTGCAGAAAGAGTGTCTCAGGCGTGTGCCCCACCCTGCATCAACACTCGGAGTTATTTCAAGTCACCTCTCTCCTATTAGCCTCCTGCTTTAATCTGCACCCTAAGGGACTGCCTTTCCTTTGTATCAGTTCCCCAAGATGCCTTTCTCTTTGGGGTGGTGGGCAGAGCCTAGGGCCCAGTGAAGCCAGGAGGCCCGGAAGCAGGCGGCCAGAACGCCGTGGAGGTTGTCTAAAACCCGTGGAGGTTGTCTAAAACCCGCAACGGGGGCCCGAGGCACCCCGGCTGCCTCTGGTAGACCTTGGTGCACCCTTCCCAGTGGCCATCCCTTGGTGATGGCCACTACCAGGTTTCTAGAAATCTCCATCCTTCCTCATACCCTAAAAGAAAAAAATTTTTTAAAAAAGACCAAGCTTTTTTTTGAGCAATCCTACCCCTCTAATTCTGTTTTTCTATTTCTCTCCATTTCTCACTCCCCCTACCCCGTATTTTTTTTTTAATTTTTTTTATTGTTATGTTAATCACCATATATTACATCATTAGTTTTTGCCCCGTATTTTTTGTTTTGCAGCAAATGACAGCGATCTACTCATGGAGGAGGGAATGACGTTCACCATAGGTCAGTGCCCAAGCTCCCCTTCAGAGAGCAGTGGCTTCCTGGGTGGAAGCAGCAGTGCTGGCCTAGGCCCGGCAGTCCCGTGAAGGAATAATAAAGCCAATCAGTGTAATGAAATAATTCAGATGCATAGCAAATCTGATTAAATAATATCCTTGAGCCCCATCTTCCTAAATCAGATACTTACCGACACATTTAGGAGACGGCAGCCATCCAACCTCTAATTCTGTTACCAGCATAATGTGGTGTTTGTTTTTTTTTATTTGTTTTGGTTTGGTTTTGGGGTTTTTTTGGTCTTGTTTTGTTTTGGGTCTCCCCCCCCCCGCCCCCGTAACACCCAGTAACTAGAAGTGATCATGTCCCTTGCTCCTTGTCGGCAAGTGATACGTACTGTCTGGCTGCCCATTCCTGGCTGATCATGTGATTGGTGTCACCACCAAATTCCAATCATCTAAGACCCTAAAGGCATCATATTTCTGACTGTGGTACTTAATGGAGAAGCAATTAACGTGAAATAAGAAAATTGTTATTTGCTGATTAATGAACATTTTAAGCATGTTTTAAAAATTCAAATATTTTTAAAAACTGACTGGTATTTATAAGAGGGACTGGTGTTTGGGTGGTTATTATCCACGGGGTCCTAATTAAGGCTTGATTAAAATGCCCTTTTTTTCTCAAAAAAATTACGAACAGGCAACTTCATACATTTTTGAATGCGGTCGTGTTTGCTCTTCCTACTGTTTAGTTTGCAGTATACTATGTAAGCAACATCAATTATCAGCCCTTGTGAGATGACAACAGGAACCCGTGGGGGAAGCACTTGGGGGGAGGGGAGGAGGACCTTCTTATTCTCTTTTTTCATAATCAGCCGAAACAATATTTGACAAGAATCTGATTAGATCCCTGCAGTAAATATTTTCCCTCTTACAGAGCCAATCATAACGGAGGGATCCCCTGAATTTAAAGTCCTGGAAGATGCCTGGACTGTGGTCTCCCTGGACAATCAAAGGTGTTTGCTTTCTGTGTCACTGCTTTTAAAATGATATGGGAAGGGAAGGTTGGTCCGACGGCTCGCGCGCTCTGCTCTTCCCCGACCCGCCGGCTCGCGCGCCTTCTGACCGCTGCGGTGTGTGTTTCAGGTCCGCCCAGTTCGAGCACACAGTTCTCATCACGTCGGGGGGCGTGCAGATCCTGACCAAACTGCCCCAGGAGGCCTGAGGAGCCGCCCGAGGGTCGCAGAGGCCGGGTGCTTTTTTTCCTAAATTGCTGAAATCCAGCTGGAGAACTTTTAGAAGACACAGGCGAACCGGAGATCACGCAGTAACCAACCTAGCTTCTAGGCTTGGAAAAACCCGGTGGGGATTGGGGGCAGTTGGGAACTCAGATCTCAAGCTCTGCCTTGGCTGCACGGCTTCCGGGGGGACCGCGGCTCGGCTTCCCACTGCGGGAAGCGATTCTGGGGGAGGGGGAATGAGGATTCTCTTGTTTGGAAGATGAGGGATTTCTAGAGATGCATGGTTTTCTCTTTTCCTTGTCTTGACTGCCCAAGTAAAAAGCTTTCCCCTCCTAAGCCCATTGTGTCTGTGGTCCTTCGTCTCCGACAGTTACTAGAGGGAGAGGGTAGATGGTTAATTTTTGATTCTCTGAACTTTTCACATGGGCGCATGGGGGAAAGAATGAGGCTAGATGTTAGCTGGGAATTTTTTAAAAGTCTCTTCTTTCCCCCTTGTGAATCCCACATTGGCACCAGCCCTTCCAGTTCTTTTCCCTTCATAGCTGCTTTGTGATGAAAAGATTAGCCCACAAACGGTGGGGTTGGTTACAAATATTTCCTTGCCTGTGAACCGTGGGTCTGGCCTCTACAGTGTTTTATCAGTCCACAAACAGGACCTTCCTGGTCCCCTGTGGCTCCTCCTCACACCTCTCATCCTGCCCCAAGCGGCCATCCCTGAGGTTACTATTGAGGGACCCTCTCACCCCTCCATCACACACACACCACACACACACACACACACACACACACACACACACACACACACACACAC